ATTGGATCATCACCAAGTTTTAATACTTAATAGTTTAAGGATATTAAGAACTAATGGATCAAGAATCTGGCATACGGATCTTTCTGGATGGATTTTCTAAATTTGTAAATCTAAACGTCGGCCGCCACTTAATTTTAGCAATTGGCAGAGATCTGACTATTGGATCATTCTGAAACTTTAAGATGTTGTTCTAGAAGCTTATTAAAACTCTTAGGAAGTTACGGATTGGAATATGAGGTGCAGATCTTCCGAATCGAGTTACGTTGGGTTGTGGACCCTACTGTCGACCTTCGACCGACGGTTAACTTTTGAGCAATGGATTTCAAATCATTCTAGAACGTTATTGGAGATGTGTTTTATATAAGTTATATGTTCTATCGATAAAACTTCTGACACGTGATTTGATATTTGTTCTAGGCGACGATTGTTCGTGATGCCTCGATATTCATGCTAAGGAGTTGTAGCACAGACTTCAGGTGAGTGGGTCTTTTCCTTTTTATAGTGTGTGTGTGTGTGTGTGTGTGTGTGTGTGTGATTGATAGTTTCCATTTATGCATTTGAAAAAGAATTTCTTACGTATGCCTGCATTAGACTAAAGTTTATAAGAATTAGTTAAATGACAGAATTTATGAAATATGCTACATCCTACGGGATGCACAGGTATGGTTATAATCTTTGATGCCATAATTATATCTACAGCTATGAATGTTAGTATGTTGATTAGAAATATCGAATCACTGTGGCATGCTTATATTTATGTAGTCTACTCATCATTACTGCACCTTGGTGTTAGTGCTCGCACAGGGTCAGTGCCAGTCTTTCATGTGTATGTTCACCTCCGCACCGCACGCTTGCTTTGGATCCAAGTAGGTGCCAGTCCTGTCGTACAAGTTGCATTAGACAACTCCGACTCACAGATGACCGCAAATAGCGCGACTCTTCACGTGATTGTAGCACTAGAGCGTATATTATGATTACATCCAGTCCTGTCATACAGGTCGTATTAGGCGACTCGGACTCGTGTGCTAGCATATATTGATAAGCATCAATTCAGTCGTACAAGTCACATTAGGCGACTCCGACTTGTGTGCTAGCATAGATTGAGAAGCACCTGATTTTACTTATATTACTGTTGAGATTTTGTGATTTTGGATGTCCTACCTTAGTTACGAGATATTGTGCCGTAATGAATTCTTGAGATTTTGCAGGCTACGATAAGTATTTTTATATTATACGTAGTAAGTATATTTTGGAAACTATACTTGTTTTAGGGCAAGGGGTTACAATGTTTTCAAAAAGGTTTTTTTTATAAAACTTTATTTTCAGGCCCACTCACCCTTATTTTTCGCTTCTTCAGGTTTTAATAGCTGAGCTTTCGTATCAACGAGGATTCTTTGTAAATCCTAGTATAGGTGGCTACCCATGATGGTATAATCCTTATCCTGCCTTACTATACTTCACTTATGCTCTATCATCACGTATGAAATGGGTTCATTCCCGCTTAACATCGCACTATTATATTTAGACACTTTTAAGTTTAAATTTATTCACATTTTCCACATCATTACACTTTATGGCTTCGTCACCTTCCAAGTGTCGGCCAGCACAGCTCGATTCAAAGTCCAAGTGGACATTCTGGGTCAGGGTGTGTCAGAAATAATCCTAAACATATGGGATTCGACTTATTTTAATAACATGGACTATTTCTAATATTGGTTTAAAAAAATCGGGCTTATATCAAGTTTTCCTTAAATATAATTAGATTTGTCAAATTTTGGTGGATAATTTAATGATTTAGTTGACATAGGAGATTTAATAGTGAAAAGAGAAGTAAGACGTTTTAAACACAACTAATATATATTTAGGTATAAGATTAGCCCACATAACATCTATTGAGTGGGAAAAGCAAGTGAGGGAAGGCAAATGGAAAAACTAGCTACCATTCCTTTAATTTTATTTTGTACTTGTTTTAGGCTTATTTTATTATCACTAATTTTTTATTTATTGATAAGATTTACTATAAGAATTAATGTCTTTCTAATTATCTCTTTAATTTTTTCTTTTTCTTTGTTATTTCTTGTTCTTTGTTCCAAACCTCATTTATAAATTTTATTTTTAATTTTAAAATTAATCTATATCACAAGTTAATTGTATTTGCCTGCTTGTATGGAAAATTCTTGACAAAGAATATCTCCAACTATTACAAGGATTTGAGGTGACCACAGGTTGCTTAGGACAATTGAAAACTCTTTTTTTTGGAAAGGAGGATTTCGGCTTCTTCATTCTCGAGTTTTAATTCGATCGCAGTTGAGTTAGTGCTCGAGTGAATGAACGTAACCTTCAACCAACTGGCGCTCTCCGCCATTCTTCTATCTCTTTCCACTAACGCGCACCATACTCAGTTCTACACGGATCTGTCATGCCCTGGACCCAAGGTCGGGGGAAAAATTAACCCTGCGCCCGGCGCGCAAATAAATGTAAAAATAAAATGAAATACAAAACATCTCTTATAAAAATAGCTCCAAAATCCTTACAGGTTTAAAAAATAAATTATAAACTTTAATCCATCTTCTAACACAACCGCAACTCATCTACAACCTGTCTTGCCAAATAACTCATCTATAAAATAAAAGGTGAGAGGTGAGCAACAACCACTGTCGCTCACTGAGTAGAATATGAAATATGTCAGTCAAGCGATGTTGTTTTACACACGCTAGAAAGTACAACAATAATATAAAGTTTTAGCCACATAATCCCAAATCACATCATCCCTTTATCTGTTCATTATATTTTTCATAAATTGTAATTCGCTACGTGACCCCTAATGGCCTTCCTGCCCTAATGTTCCCGTATGCAGTTTAAATTTATCCCTCGGATTAATGCAACACTAAAATTCTCATGCTCCACTGACCAGATACATAATAACTTTGAAGGTACTTCACAAAATACAATATGCTTGACTTGAAATGTATAGATATTTGTAAATAGATCAAAACCCACTATAGCTCGTGCTTTTCATTTATCATAAAATAAAAATATTTTAAAACACATTACATTAACCACTCATCTTGATAATCCGAGCTTTAAGAAGACAACCCAACTAACATCTCCGCACCCCTCAAACCCTAGCTTTCCCTTTCTCTTTCCTTTTCTAATCTCTCTCTCTCTCTCTCTCTCTCTCTCTCTCTCTATATATATATATATAGAGTCGGCAATACAGCAGGAGGTGTCCAATATTATTGGATAATAAGGTACGATAAATTGACACTTGTTAGGGTAGTAGTGTTGGCTGCCAAGTGGATAAATAGGTGTCACTTACAGAGGATGAATGGTACACGTGAAGAAACCTCAAGCGCCTCCCGTGATCGTGACTGTTCATCGTATATCATGCAGTAAAAAATCATTCCAAAATTTAAAATTTAAAATTAAATATAAATAGTACCTAACGAAAACTGACAGCATGATATACGATAAACGATCACGATCACAAAATCTCTAAAATTCCTAAGAAAAGAATCCGTCGAAAATCATTTTTCACCTCAAGCTCCAATGTAATGACTATGCAAATAAGATTGGAATGAATGATTGGATGGTCAATATGGTGGTGCACATAAGAAGTGGACATCTGGGTATATGGCTGACTCAGTTAATAGCAGGGTCCGACACTTGCATGTAGGAGGTGTACTAACCTTAATGCATGAAACGAAAGATATCAAGACTACCATGGTTTGTTATATATACATATACATGCATACATACGTATACAATACATAGAACATAAATATGAAACAAAAGATATTTAATATGATATATATATCACACACACACGCACGCGCGCACACACATATATATATATATATTTTTTTTTTTGGAAATACGGGGTCTCATAGGATCTGTTATACTCAGTTGAGTATAAGGATCTTTGGGAACAACATACCGCCCGATAAGACGCTGAATTTCGAAGCTACCTCTAGTATCAGTTTTCTATGTTTTTGTGTCTTCAAATTCACCTTTATCGAGAATTGAACCTAAGATCTCTTATTTGCAAATGAAAAGGAATACCATTAGACAATAGTACTAAGTGGCTTGTATTTTTTTTTTAATAAACAATATTTCTACATTAAGGGGTGGGAGAGTGGGCTAAGCTTCACAATTGGCTAACAATAATGTGGTTTAAATTCATCTTTGGTGAGAATCGAACCTAAAATTTCTCACTTATAAGTGAAGAGGAATATAATTAAACCGTAATATTAAGTAACTTGTATTTTTTATTTACCTATGCACTAGGTTTTTGTGCATAGTCTACATGTAACACAGATTAATTGTATTTCTTTGTTTTTTCTTTTTATAAACTACCTTTATAACAAAAGTTTGTATTTAAACTTTTTAATCTAAAAAGACAAATCGATAAAATAAAATAAAATATAATTAGATAATTGAATCCAGTCTAAAAAATAACCTATATTTTTGAACCTAGGTTTAAAAACCTTTTTAAAATTGGGAACTTTAACGAAAAGTTTCCTGTATTGTTCACTTTAACAAAAAATTATATGGGTACAATTTACTTTACCCTTTATTTTATCTTTATAGTTAAAACTTAAAGTTTTCAAACCATTTTCATTAGTTTTCCTTTTAAAATTTAAATTACGTATAGTTAGTTAAGGTTATATGAGGAAATTTGGATAAAATAATCAAAATTTGAATGTCGTATAGAATTTTAGTTACTTTTTCAAATTTATGATAATTATAACCAATCTACATAACCTTGTGTGTTTCCAAAGTCTGATTTATTTTCACATTAGGAGGATGGGGCATTCGGTTAAGCCACATCATGGGCAACTCAATTTAGTATCAAAATTGACATCACAAGATTCGAACCCAAGACCTCTCATTTTTAAGTGAAGAAAAATACCACTATACTGTATATTAGTACTTTTATCTCTGCTTTTAATTATACTTATCATAAACATAAAAATGGTGGTTATAATTCTACATGAATTTTATATGGAGTCTAACCATCAAAACCATCACAGAAATGCTCTCCTCATCAATCCCTCCTATCCAAATCCAATCTCCTCTGGCCCGTCTTCAACTCCACACCCATGTAGCTTCATCTCCTCCACTGTAACAAAACCCAGATATCCCAATTCTCTGGAACAATGGAAGGTACTCTCTTTCCATCTCGACCTGTATATCCCATCCCAGCAAACAGACCAACGCAGCCAAACCCTCCTGTGAAATTCAACTCAACCAGATGATTGAACTAATGGTTAGAATTCTTGGGAGAGAGTCGCAGCATACTTTTGCATCGAAGCTGTTCAATGTAATTCCCATAGAAGAATACTCGTTGGATGTCCGAGCTTACACGACTATCCTTCATGCGCACTCTCGTAGTGGTAAGTACGAAAGTGCAATTGACTTGTTTGACAAAATGATGGAAATTGGTATCTCACCAACTTTGGTGACTTACAATGTCATGCTTGATGTATATGGGAAGATGGGTCGATCTTGGGATAAGATTTTAGGACTTTTGGATAAGATGAGGAGGAAGGGATTTGAATTTGATGAGTTTACTTGTAGTACGGTGACATCTGCTTGTGGGCGTGAGGGTTTGTTGAACGAGGCAAATGAGTTCTTTGTCGGGTTAAAGTCACAAGGCTATGTACCTGGAACTGTTACCTATAATGCTTTGTTACAAGTTTTTGGCAAGGCAGGGGTATTTACGGAGGCCTTGAGCATATTAAAAGAAATGGAGGATAATAATTGCCCACCTGATGCTGTTACTTACAATGAGCTTGTGGCAGCTTATGTGAGGGCAGGATTCTTTGAGGAAGGTGCGTCTGTCATAGAAACGATGACCCAAAAAGGAACAATGCCAAATGCTGTTACATACACAACTGTGATAAATGCATACGGTAAAGCTGGAAAGGAGGAAGAGGCTCTAAGGTTGTTCAATCATATGAAGGCGACAGGTTGTGTTCCTAATGTTTGCACTTACAATGCTGTTTTCGGAATGCTGGGAAAGAAGTCACTGCCCGAGGAGATGATAAAGTTACTTTGTGAAATGAAGTCAAGTGGATGTGCCCCCAACCGTATTACATGGAACACAATGCTTGCCATGTGTGGTGATAAGGGTAGGCACAAGTATGTGAACCAGGTGTTTCGAGAAATGAAGAATTGTGGTTTTGAGCCAGACAGAGACACATTCAATACCTTAATCAGTGCATATGGACGGTGTGGATCAGAAATAGACGCTACACAGATGTACGATGAGATGATCAAAGCAGGATTTACTCCATGCGTTATAACTTACAATGCACTTCTAAATGCTCTGGCTCGGATAGGGGACTGGAAAGCAGCAGAAGCTGTTATGCTAGACATGAGAAATAAGGGCTTCAAGCCTAATGAAACATCATATTCATTGATGATCAACTGTCATGCCAAAGGAGGGAATGCCAAGGGGATCGAGAGAATTGAGAGAGAAATTTATGGCTATCATATTTTCCCCAGTTGGATTCTTTTGAGAACTCTTATTCTTGCGAATTTCAAGTGCAGAGCACTGGACGGCATGGAGAGGGCATTCCATCAATTGCAAAACAACGGATACAAACCTGACTTGGTTGTATTCAACTCTATGCTTTCAATTTTTGCTAGAAACAACATGTATGACCGGGCTAATGACATGCTGTACATGATTCATGAAAACTGCCTTCAGCCAGATCTCATAACTTATAATAGCTTGATGGACATGTACGCCAGAAAGGGAGAGTGTTGGAAAGCAGAAGAAATCCTCATGACCCTACAAAAATCTGGTGGGAAACCAGACCTCGTCTCTTATAACACAGTCATCAAAGGGTTTTGCAGGCAAGGGTACATGCAGGAGGCCATAAGAATTCTCTCGGAGATGACAACTAGAGGGATTCGACCATGTATTTTCACATACAATACTTTCATCACAGGCTATGCAGGGCAGGGAATGTTATCAGAAATGGATGAAGTGATTAGCTATATGACGCAGAACAATTGCAGGCCAAATGAGCTAAGCTACAAGATTGCGGTGGATGGCTATTGTAAAGCGAGAAAATATAAAGAAGCCATGGACTTTCTGTCGAAGATTAAGGAAATTGATACTTCTTTTGATGATCAATATGTGCAAAGACTTGCTTCTCGCATTCGGGGCAATTTGTATTCATGAATTATTGATTGTTCGCCGTTGGTTTCTTTTTGGCTTAACACCGTCATATATAGGGTTTCCAAGGCTAATGTAATTGTAAAAGAATGTAAAATCACCTATTTGGCTGTCCTGTTTCAAATAGAAAAGGTTAATCTTGGCTGAAGCCGTCATTAGATACTAGGTACATATGGTTATTTCCTAGTATAAGGGCGTTGGTGCCGTTTTCACTTAAAAGATAGTAAAATGGAGTTGCTACAATGTGCCTATTAATCAGACCACAAGCTGGTAACAATTGGAATAATCAAGAGTGATAAGGATTTAATACTCGGAAAGGCATCCACACTGAAAGCCCTAGGAATCCGGGGTCAATTTCAAAATTGTCTTTGGCTGGAAAGTTATCATTCTAATATTATTTTTATTCTCCTGATTATTGATTTTGATCTTCATTGGCCTCATTGTATGCAATAGTTTATTTGTTTGGACTACATTTAGAAGATGACTTTCTACATCTCTCACATATATCGCTAAGGAAATATTACGGACAATTTTGTTAACATGAGCTTGTCTTCTCAAATTATGATATGACATGATTCCCCTTTATTAGATATTCGTTCTGCTTTGTTTTCTGATTATGTTGACTTTCCTAACTTCTTATTCTCAAATTAATATGCATCCCATTACATAGGTTATCTCACTTTTTTGTTTCTTAACTTCGTGATATTACTTGATCTATTTTGCGCGCACTGGTGAAACCCGACCCGGCTCCCTACAAACTCCAGCCGGTCCAGAGAGTTTCCATTTTTACGATCAAGGCAGTTAAAGGTCCAGCCGACCATCCGTTAGGCTTTAATCTAAATTCCACAAACACTTGCCACCACTCGTATTTCTCAACCTTTACACACACCCGCACCCGCACCCACACCCACACCCACACCTCCCACCTCCCACCTCCTCCGTTCCCCTTCCATCTCTGCCAACAACAATTCCAATCGAACTTTCCATGGGTTGAAGGAGGAAGACGACGATTCAAATTCTCCTGGCCGATTGAAAGCAATATCTATGGAGTGGGATAGCAATTCCGATCTGAGCTCCGAGGAGGAGGAGGACGAGGATGGGAGCTTGATTTTCCCTGACGACGACGACGTTTCTGCCCCGGGTCCGCTTCCGTTCCCCGTCGAGAATTTGTTCCAAACGGCGCCGTGTGGCTTCGTTGTGACGGACGCTCTCGACCCTGACCACCCCATCATCTACGTCAACACTGTGTTTGAAATGGTCTCGGGGTACCGTGCCGAGGAGGTTCTTGGTCGCAATTGGTCAGTTTTCTATCTTGGGATTTTGATATTAGGGTTTTGAATGGGGGTTTTATAGGTGCGTCTTTGTTTTGGGTGCTTTTGGTGGGGGATTGATTTGGGGTTCTCAGAAATACTTATTTTTTTGTTGAGAAAACCGTGGGGATTGTATTTTGCGTTATTAAAGAAGCTGCGTGATGTGTATTTTGGATTGAATAGATTTTTTCTGTGGTGATTGTGGTTGGTATTGGGCAGCTCATTGGGTTTGTGAGTTCTCGAGGGTTTTGTATGTGCTCGGAAATTGGATGAAAATTAAGCAAATTGGAGCTGGAAGTAATTGTTTTGTTGATTCTTTGTGGTCATAAACCCAGTCATGAGACTAGTGGCGGCGTGTTGTGTTTAGTGTTACTTCCTGTAGGACCAATACAAATTTCTCATGGTGTAGATGTCAAAGCAAATGATAATATCAGGATATAATTATAACAAAATTTGATGCGATAGGTTTCTGTTGTGTGTTTGGGTGTTGCCTTGTTGCTCTATTTTATTGAAGTTTTTAATTTAATTTTTTTCATAAGAAACGAGAAATTTATATAAATTAGAAAATAATTGTAAATGGGATGGACAAGTAGCCCTTCAAGGTACCCCAATTAGAAAACAATACATAAAAGGAATAAAACAAGCCACACTCGATACAGAACTCCACTGTAGTTGATGAACCACACCAAATACATCTCTAGAGTGCTCAAGGAGGCCAAAAGTCTGGCTCTCCCAAATGAAAACTCTAATCGTCCCTTGTATCTTCAAAATTTATTTTATTTTCTGAATATGTGTATTTTAATACAAAGTCTTCTCCGCCTCTAATCTAGGGTGTAAGCTTGGGGAATTTGATTGTTGCTACTATAGTGCTTGAAATCTATTAGTAAGTTCATTGACACGAGTTGTATAGTAGGTTTGTTTAGCTAAAATCTATAATACTGTTGAATTAAATGCTTTTATTTTCTTTCTGTTAGTCATAATATGAAAGATTATGTTGTAGGTATGTTTTTTGGTGCTTTACCTGTTAGTTGAAATATTTTTATGCAAGGGGTTCATGCTTTTTTTATTTTTTTTATTTTTTTATGGTTTTGTCTCCTGGTTGTAGCATCATGAGTAAATGTCATACAATGAAAACATCAAATTGCAAGCATCAAGTTAACTTTTGAAGATTCATATGCTAGATGGTATCTGATATGGTCCATCTATTTTTCTTTCATTGTCCTAACTAGTTGAGTAGTGAAGTGCCTAATGTCGCTCAAAAGTGTTTAGATTTTCCATGATTACAAGCAGATAAAGAAGAAAGAGCATAAGACTCTTATGATATTACAGGCACCATAATTGGCCACTTTGAAGTAGGATAAAGCTTAAATATTCACCACTAAATTGTCATTTGATAAACCTGTTTGAGCATAGAGATTGTGTCGGTAGGGAAGATTACCTAAATTCTACACCAAAGTTGAGTTGTTGGAGGTTGTACATATCCAACTTGATTGAAGTAAATTTTCCTTCAAAGTTTCCCTCGGGGTTTTAACAAAGTATGTATAATAGAAACAGTTGTTTTACAAAAAAATTTGTGTGACCAACTTAGTGGGAAAAGGTTTTGTTGTTGTTGTTGTTGTATTCATTTTATTTATATAACTTGGAATAGTGCAATCTTATGCATATCATAAGGTGTTAGTCATCGAAGCTCAGCTGTAAAGCATAAGAAAAATGTTTTTTCTTATTGCACCATTGTATTGGCTCATTTAAGTCATAAAATATAAGTGTTGACTACTAAGGAGCTGGGCATTCTGAAATTCGCGTATGTTTCTGTTTGTGAGCTTCTTGGTGTTTGTGGCTTAACTGGGTTATGAAGATATTGAACAAGCTCTAAAAATGATCTAATCCAGTCTAAGAATGTTTGATCATCACATTTAGGTATAACTAAGCTATCAGGATTGTAATCAAGAACGAGTTGGTGTGTATTCGATTGCTTACGAATATAAAAACCTGATGTAAGAGGGATTGTAATTTTGGGTCCCACTTTACACTGTTGTCCAATGATGCAAAGTGTTTAATTTGGATTTCCATTTAGGAAGTATCTATGTGGAAAATCAACAAAATCAAAATTTAAATGGGAGAGTTATAAAGAAATCTAAAAATTAGTCAATTTGGACCCTTGGGCCACATTGCTGGGTGACCCTGCCAATGCAACCCCTTTTGGTTCTTATCGAAATAGATCCCTCTTAAGATGAGGACTATATGTATTTATGTACATGTGTGTGTGTGTATATAAAAAGAAGGAAAAATTATGTGCTAGGGTTATTGTTTGGTTACATGTAACATGGCATTGAGGATAGTGCTTCAAGTTTTATTGCTAAATGCTTGTTTATTTTTCTTTTCTTGGTCTTTTTAAGTATTAGTACTAGACACGTTTAATTGTTCATCCACTGGCTATTTTATAGGGTTGGCCATCGACAGTGAATGCAACACATTCTTCACTCTTGTCAGAAGAGAACCACACTTGGATATGTGAAAAGAACAACCGAAATCAAAAAACCAACTACTAGAACACTCGATAGAATCTGAGTTGAATATTTTGATATTATGGTCACTGTATCAATGACTTGAGTTGAATCAATGGCTCTCTTGTACTGGATGCAACTAGCATTCAATTGAACCTGAGTTGAATCATTGAAATTATGGTCACTGTATAAATGACCTTACCTATTGCCTTGCCCTGAGCTTAGGATAGTAATATCTAATGGCCATATGTCATGACAATAATAATTTATTTGCCCTTGTGATTCCTAGTATTTGATCCATTAGGGGCCTTACGAATCACATGGAGTGTGTACTCCAAAGTTCAAACTGTTAGTTTTTGGCTCGTCAGTTTGTGTCCTTTTCTGTCTAGGATTGTTGTAGATTAGAAATCCTAGAAGTCTATTTGGAATTGGAAAGGAAGTCTAAATTCCTATTCCACTTAGAATAGGAATTATAATCTGTAAAGGACATGTAAGCCAACCCTATATCTATAAATAGGGTGCGGCAAGGCTGGTTTTACAGCAGAGAGAAAACAGCCAAACAGCAGAGAGGTTTGAGATTAGTTCTAGGGTTTGCATAAGTTCTGTAATCTCTATTATTAATCAAAGAAGCGGTGATTTCTCTACCTAGGGAAATCACAACTGGACGTAGGCATAAGTTCTGCCGAACCAGTATAATTCTTGTGTGTTTCTAAGTTTTCTATATTTGCTAGTTTAGTCTATTGCCATTGGTTACATCAAAGAACAAGGTCCAGTGAAAGGGGTTTTTTCAACACAAACCATGGGAGAAAAGATTGATTTCATTATATGAGTAGCCGATTCACCTTGAGGGGAAACAAAAGATTGAAGTTTCATAATTTTTGGTACTTTTGACAGTTTTAAACTTTTATTATTATTTATAGATCTGATAAAATTGTTGCTTTCACTTTATAGTATTGCAAAATTGAGATTAAGTTAACAATGACAGTAATTGAGTCAAAATTACAATAGCAAAGCTGCAACATGCGAGTTATTACAAAGTTTACTGCTGTAAGATATCCTAATTTTTGGGGAGGTCAGTATAAACTTTGCTACATCTTTGACATTTGGTTCTATTGTGTTTAAACCTGACCTTATTGAAGGCAAAGCATAAATAAAAATATGATTTTGTTGCTATATACTAGAGTGTAATTTTTTATTTTTATTTTTATATTTGGAGACAAACCAAATAGTCTTTGTGTTTCCTTTAGTTTGAGGGCTCTCTTTTGTTAGAGTTGGATATTAACTAAAGAAATAGTGCATCTTTCTTTCTCTTCCTTCCTCTGCTTTGTTCTGAT